CTTATATGATTGCAGGATAACTTTATGCGCATACGCGATTTTTAATATTAGTGGAATGGAAGTGGGTGGGGACTTCACTTCGTGCAGTGCTGCGGGTCAGTACAGATAAGAGATAAGTGTGTTAAAATTGAGCTTTTCAATGGCACCTCCGAGTTTTACCTCGCGTACTCAGGCACATTAAGAAAAACAGTAATTACAAAAAGTAATATTTCGTCTATGGACGCACGAAGCAAACTTCCTGATCAACAACACTAATGTAAAGGCGCGAGCTCGATGTATGTATACTTATTGTTTGCTACAGCTTGTTGATTCGTACACAAGCAAGATCCCCGAGCACCCGAGCTTCGCAGCGTCGAGACTCCCAGCACTGGCTCGTCCACATACCTCGATTGAAACGCTAACAGGAAAGCTCAAGTACAAAAATACAACAAGCATATGTTAAGACAAGCTATACGTCTCGGGATTGTGCTAAAGCGTCGAGGTATGACCATTTAGGTTAGTTTAGAGACCACAAATGACGCTCTCGGGACCAGAAAACAATCTCTTGTCGACGTGTCGATCGAAACCGAAACCATGCCACCCTCCTCCCTGGCCAACTAGTTCCCAGAGTGCAACGCGCGCCGTGTTGCATGCAGGGCTTTATGGAAGTAGTCTATTCAGGATATGGAAGGTTTTCTGCAACGGGTAGAAATGACTTTTTTTTTTAAGTTTCAAGCAGTCGCTTTTGAAAAAGAGAGAATAAGGCGAATGCTTCTTATTCTTAATTTTCTTATCGTTGTTTACCCTACTTCTCTCTGGAAAGCTGTGATTCACACTGAAACAAAACAAAAAAACTATTATTCTTGCTTCTTGCTCAACAAAATATACATTTCCGTGCTTGTGGAAATACCAGCTACATGTTTTCAAATTTAAGAAAATGTTAGGAAACACAATGCTGACGTTTAGACCCACTTTCTTCGTGTGCAGTTTGTAGGTTACGTGGTAAATGTAGGCTTCATCGTTATGCTTTGGCTAATGTCAGACAAGGTATTTTTTGTTCAAGACTCGTACTAAAAAGTCAAATTTACTTTTTGTGAGAACAATATCATGCGCGTGACGAGTCATTTCTAAGGTCGTTCCTTTGTTGTAAAGCCAAAGCAAACATTTTGTCTCGAAGAAAGAACAAAATAAATGCTGTGTCAGTAAAAGTGAAAAGGCAATTTAAGTTGAAGACGGCAACCACCATGGTGCAGAATATATGTTATAAAATAGCAAAATATCCGTCACATCAATTAAACAAATTTAAAGGCTCAATTTGTGCAGTGCGTACGAATGAATCGGTTACTGAAGCATGACCTATGGAGCATCTGGAATTATATACCTGGGACAGGCTTGTACACTGATTTTATAAAAACAATTTCAAAACATACACATGTCCTTACTGAAATAGCGAAAAAACCTGTGTAAGAACCACACGCAATAAAAAAAAATAGAAATAAGTTTGAGAAATTAATCTCTGGGGAAGGGGAACAAGAGGGACAAAAGGCAAATACAAATCTTGAAACACAGCTAGGTGACTGGTGCGCGACCGAAAAAATCCGCCTGGTCCGGGTCTCGAACCCGAGACATCTCCATTTTCAGTGGAGCGCTCTTAGCTGTGTTTGGAGACTTGCGTTTGTCTATTGTCTCTCTTGTTCCCTTTTCTCCAGTGATTATTTTCGTTATACTTTTCCAGCTTGCTTGCTCCTTGGCATTTAATTGCATTATAATTATAGAAATAAGTAATGCAAAACGGTCAGTCGTATTTGGCCTCTTTATTGTTCACAGGAACCCATAAAATATGGTGAAATTAGGGTACTTGTGTATTGACGTTAGGTTATGCATTTAGGACACGCTTTTATTTATTTTATTTATTTATTTTCAAAATACTGCCGATCCCGATTGGGGGATTATAGCATGTATGGTACAAAAAAAAACACACACAAAATTTTTGAGGCGCTCGAAAAACAGTGATTTTTAGAAATCGTCACTCTTTTTCTTATTAAAACAACAAAACGGAACGTATTAGAAAGAACTAACTCAATTTACTCTGCAAACAATACTTTTCTTCACCCTTTGTCAATCACTAGGTGGAAGGAGCAAACATCTTTTCATTCTGATTATAATTATGTGCACTGCAAACCTGGTAAGATTGAAATAAAGCTGGAGTCGTGTATGAGACTCATTCTCTTTTTGAGAACTGTCTATAAAGGATCGTTCACATTTACGGTACAGAGCTACATCAAAACTAAAACAGCACGGACTTGAACTTAATAGGTAGGGAAATTACACCCCGAATTATCGGTTTCATTAGTTTTGTTCATTTCATACGTTTTATTTGGAGCGAAAAGAAAACTATGAACTGACCATTATAGGATCGAGAAAGTGTGCGCCGTGTATGATCCGAAAAGGTTTGCTTTAGGCGCGAAAGGGCAGCCGCTGAGCTGCCGTAAGCTGCCGGGGCCGATGCCGTCATCCGTCGGTTGTTGCTCCAATCAGAGGGTGCACAGTTAGCAGACGCTGTGCACCGTCTGACTGGGTGCACAGTTTGGTAGAAAAAAACAGTTATCGTTTTTTTTTACAATTGTTTTAGGTAAGTTCTTTTAAATTTCTATGCCATGATTTTACACCATATTCAGGCGCCTGTGGTAAATCGTAGCGTGATGGATAACCAAACCAAATTATGCGGTCACTTTAAAGGCTCGACCCAGATTCAGGACCACACAGCAGAGCTGCAGTGCATGTGCGAACAGGCCTTAAAGCACAATGAATGATGATATGTATCAAATAATTATATTCTGCAGATGTTGCGCTAGGAATTGCAGATGTATACAAACATTTTCAACTCTTCGAGTCGTAGTTTTACTAAAGATTGAAATTAAACATACCAACAGGATCCTACCCACAGATTCCACGAGTTTTCATAGTTTCAAACAGCAACATGTCCACTCGAAGTGGAGCATAAATGGCTCTAATGACTGCCTGGTCGTGTTCTTTAGCCGCGTCAGGGCCACTAATCCTCTCACTCAAACCTTGCTTTCAGCTCTTCATTGCGGTACATGGGTCACAAGTTGTGCTAGCATGCTTGCAGTACTAGCTGAGAGAGTTGGAGGCCCACTCTTGAAAATACAAGGCATAAAATAACCCATTACTTAACACAACAGGTAACAAAAAATAATAAAGTCATACAGATAATTAAAACACAGCTTTGAAAATTCATCGCAACCACACGGGTTTCGCGAAGGTAGTACTAAACGAACCTTGCAGCACAGTGAGCCTTAGTAAAATTGCATGCCCCTCGGTGTGGTTTACAACCTGATAATTCGGGATTTGAGGACAAAACCTTGCGACAAAGTCAAGTTCCAATTAGCGGCTAATTTGCCGCATTTTCGACGATAATTATTTTCGCACTTTCAGAATAAAATTAATTTTATTTAATGTAGAGGATTAAATATAATGACAGGTCAATCGATTTCACAGCATGCCTAAAGTTGCTATCGTCTCCTTAAAAACATCTCTAATGCATAGCATTTAGAGGCACCTAGAGCTTCTATACGCATGGCATGCAGTCTTGATAACGTGCTAGTGTCATGTCACGTAACATTTTGACATCACTCTAAAGGCACTCGAAATACATGGAACTTAAAGGTTCTCTGTGACGTCACGTCACGCTTTGATGTCACGTGATACTTGACGTAACGTTACAAAAATCACGTGAACCGATATTACCAGGAAACACTGGGGCGTCCCGTGACATGTCATCTCGTGACACCTTAATGTAGCGTTCCAATATGACGTCACACGTAACCAACCTCAGAAGACATTCTGACCTAACGTCGTGACGTTACGTTACGTGGTGCTATGACGTCATCATGGCGATGTCTCATTACATGCTGACCACACGGGAAAAAGTGACGTTGCGTGATATACTCTACCATCAGAAACGTTATGGAATCAGTGGCACGTGATGTGGCCTGACCTCATGTCATTAATATTAGCATTATTACTATTATTATTATTATTATTTGGTATTATTATTATCATCGACCACACCAGGCTGGAGTGTTTGCTGAGCTGCTTGGTGTGGCTGACACGCAGTCATGAAGGGCACATCACGCTGACCTGGTTAATTCACGAGACATCTAGTGTAGCCATCAGACGGTCTGGTACACACACCAGGCTGGTGTGCTGGTCACATCAGTCTGTCCGGTAGGCATACCAGATGGTTTGTTGTTACACCAGGATTTCCAAGTGCTACACCGAAATTATATTAGAAAAAACATCGTAAGGGTGCAGGTGAGCTGGTGAGTATTAACCATGTTGGATTTACCTGAGACTGGGGTGGAGGAGAAACATCGAAACGTAGAAGAGACAGAAAATATTGTCTGTCTTTCCTACGTTTTGATGTTTCTCCTCTACCCGTCTCAGGTTAATTTTCGGTCTCTTCTACGTTTTGATGTTTCTCATCTAACCCTGTCTCAGGTTAGTCCAACATGGTTAAGATTTCCTTTCTTACTTTTTAGCAGGGCTGAACCTGTACACAACTCAGACTCGGCTTCACATTCAAAGGTTACCTACTCAAGTGATACTTTCACTGCTCTGGCGGAAAAATCCCACATACGCCAAGCGGCATTCTATTCTCCAGAGCTGTCCATCAAGCACTTAGGTTGGTATTTAGGTAAAATCTTTGTATCTGAATGCAAGAAGGATATGACGACGTAACATTTTGAACAGTATACAATGGGACGTGACATTTAAATATCTTTACATTAAACTTTTCACTCTGATATTTGAAAGGCTTTCTAGCACACAATTGTGCTAGATGTTTTGCGTTCCATTGCTTGTCTTACCTTTGGACAAAGAATGGAATGGTCAGCACAAAATATAAAAGGTGTGTTTAAAGCAAAATATAAAAGGTATGGGTAAGCACAATTATAAATATCAGAACTTCCAGTAAGTAAGAACGCTTTTCTTTTTTTAAGATGTCACGCGCGCTTCTCTGCATTTTTCTTTTGGCATTTACAAAGACAATTCTAGAAGCCTCACGTAAGTTTACTTTATAACGCCTTAATTACCCGCTATTCTAGCACATATCTGGTGTAACTACACTTCAAGAAACTTTATATGCATAATAATATACAGATTTGGTTCATAGAAGAGAAACTTGTAGAGATTTTTACAAGACGTTTACCGGGTACATCGCTGGCTGTCTTGCATGAATAAAATCGTAATTTAAAAAGACTACCTATAATTTTCTTCCTTAGCCTCTTGGTAGAAAAATGGTGATATGGAGTCTCGTAAGCGAGCACTTTGAGCTACAATTTTTGTTTACCAGTCATGAAAAAATGTTATCTCAAAATTTGTGTTATGGACATTGTTCAAAAAGGACTGCACCAATAAAACCGGAATTCCCTAATTCTCGTTGCAAGGAACATCTAGCGAGCGTAGAATTTACCAAAACAAAAATAAAATATTCTGGTCACCAATTTTTTTAATCTACACAAAAAAAAATGGTAGAAAGGGGATAATATTTGCATACTTTGATTTCGCAACAACATTCAATAAAGTGAAGTTAATCTGCAGTCAGGCTCTCTAAGGAAAGGAAGTAGAAAAAACAAGGCACAGTTAATTAGTGTAAGAAAATAAAAAGTGATGAAAGAATAAGATACAACTTTAACTTGAGTATGCAGAAACATAACGTTATTCTGTCATGCTGGGCTAAAAATACTAGATCTCAATTTTACACAGTAGTTGCAAACGATCTTGATGGTCTTACCGATATTCCATAAACAACTCGTTGTGTTTCTTACATTCCGTTTTAAAAATTGGCGTGAGATTACTTGCTAAAAGAAAAGCTGAAGAGGTCCTTGGAAAACAAAACGAGTTGAATTTTAGCGTATTTTTCCTTATGAACCTGAATATCACAAATATTTGATACGAATGCATCAATGTGGAGAGCGAGTCGTCTGCGTCTTGCGCAGGGGTAGAGGTGACGTCAGAACGACGGCAAGTTCTGATTGGCTGGGACTGGAAGTATAGTGGGTAGACCTCAATGATAGATGCCTTGACATCCTACTCACTACATTTTTTTTTTCATTCAGCCTATAAGAGCTCGGCCTTTTGACATCATCGCAAACCCTGTGCAAAAAGAAGTCGAACTGGCGCTTCGCATGCGCGAGAAAGCCCGAAAAACTAACTGCCGGGTGTGACATACCCAGAGGTTTCAGCTGCCTAGCGCGTGCCGTTTGTTAGGGAACGCGTGCCGAGCTTTTGACTGATCTGGTAAGGTTTGTGGAAAGCGAGGAAAACGTTGAGATATTTGTATTATACTTCATGATTAGCTCCTCGTACCGGAGGCAACGGGAAGGGCTTCGGCGCTATTTTGAAAGCACTGTTCTGGCTATTCGACGCATCAATCTGATATATAATTTCGCTATTCGTAATCCTGGAGGCCAAATGAAGACGATTTCGGTGTTTTTCTTGTCGAATACAGAACCGCCTCGGTTTCCCTTTAAGTAAAAATGGCCTTCAAGAATACGTTACAGCAATATTGTAATTTTATCTATCGACTGCAATTTTAGTAGTGCTATTAAAATATTAAATTCTGAACCCGCCTAAAACTATTTAATGTTTTAATACGATTGAAGACTATCTTGTACCACAGTTCTTAAATTGATATTTAATTAAATTTATTACATTTTATGAATTTTTAATTTGGAACATTAGCATTTTAAACTATATACACCAACTCAACTCTGTTACATCAAGCCGCGGTGCTTGCGTTGCGTGGCCACTTCCGGTCTGGCAGTGTGGGCGGAAGTCGACATACGGGACCGCTATTTCTGTACTGTTTTGGAAAAAAAGTACAAAATCTGCCTTCTTTCAAAACATTTCGATTGAGGCAGTACCAAAGGAGCAAAGGAAGAAGTTTTTATCTGGTTTTGCTCGGTCCGTCGGTGCCGTGAGAAGGGAAAACCAGACACCGTCGGACCACGATTGATCGTGCGGGAAGCGCGTTGGGCTGAATTTACAGACACTTGTGATGGTCAGATTTATTTAGTTTCTTCCAACATAAACATGGGGACACCACAAAATTGTCCGGACCACCGGGGAACCATCTCAATTGAGTGCGTCTTTTTATCTCAAACTGCCGTCTCATCGTTCAAACAGTCGTATTCTCTTTCAAACTCGCTCAAAACGTCGTCTGCTCGTTCAAGCGGTAGCGGCCAGTAGACAAAACGTTAAGATGACAAGTGCAGGTGTCAAAAGAATTTGAAATTTGAAGGTTGTTTGTGTTAAGTAAAGTCAGTCTAAACAGTACGTACAAGATGTTCATGATTGTTACCGGTGGCTATCACTGACTTGTTATACATGATTCACTTGGTTAGGTTCTGCTTGCTGTCTTAGTATTGACGCCAAGCATCGCAGCTGCCGTCCACGCTTTTGCAGCCCGGGCGACATCGCGAAATAAAATAGTCAGCAGATCACGTGAATGAAGCTCTATTAGCGTAGATATCGAAGTATAGGGAGCGCACTGACCACTTTGTTGTCCCCACACCTCGGTGTGTACCCAACACAAGGCCTGTGCACATGCCCACAGGCCGTATGGGCATGTCCATGTTATCTTCAATAGAGCGCGGGGCACCCTACTGAAAAAAAAGGGAAAAAACAAGTTGAAATTTAAACGGGTGGCAAACTGGTCGACCTGTTTGAATCAAACCGGTGGAAATCTTGTCGATCCGTCTGGATCAAACGTGATTATGAGGTACGCGTACCGGTATGAAATGGTACCCGTTTGAAACGATTTCTGTTTTATACGGGTGTCCGCTTGACCTGGCATGTGAACACACATTTGAACGCGCCATTAGGATAGGCAAATTATTCGCTAGCCCAAAATGGGTCTCGTCTGGAAGGTTGGTTAACTTAAACTTATTTAAAACGTCCCGAACCCCAAAAGCTTATTTATAACAGGGAGAAACTCGTAGAAAAAATGTGCTCGCGCAGGGGCTTGCAATTGGGCAGGAAAACAGACACAAAATATTGTTTTCAATTCTCCTAGAAGTTTATTACAACATATTCCGGAGACAAGTAAAAACGTGCAAGCGATCTGTGAAATGTGAAGAGGCACTTTAAGCTTTTATACAACTGCGAAGATTGCAAAACGAACAAGAACCGAGGTAATTCTAGACTATAATGGCAGACTTTCGGGGAAATTATTCTCCCGGCTGCCACGAGATTAGATGCTGCATGATTCTATAGATAATCTGGAAGAGTAGGCGTAAAAGAACGGCCAATCGTTGCCAACAAGTAGGTTGCAGTGCACTTACTATAATAATAGCCTAATCCAAAATATATATCAACACGGTCTAAGCAGGACAACCACACAACCATAAAAACGAGAAGGAAGGCTCCTTGAAGTTTCAACACAATGCGGCGCACAAGCTTTCAGTTGCCGAACCCAACCAAACCGCAAGAATTCCAGACTTCTTTGAAGAATCGTTTGTGACCGATATATGCGTAGGACTTTTCGAACACGGATAGCTTTGGTGCAGATATAGTACGTTGTCGAGAGGCATCCTAATAACAGTGCAGGGAAAGGCGGCGGATCGAACCAGCTAGGACGAACTAGGGAGCCTTCATGTGCGCTTTGCTAGGGTGATGCCACCCTTTGTAATACCACTCGCCGACAAACCAGCAGCCATTTTGGTCCTCGGCGATAATTCGTGGGGCTTCTAACCCTCCCAGAAACAAGCACCTTATCTCGTAAGTTCGGAGCAGCGTTGCAGAACCCAGGGAGGGAGGATTAGCATTTTCCCTCTCGGAGGGGAGGACCGATGGACACAGAGGCCACTCTCCGGTGCACGGGGAAACAATGAGAGGAACAAAATGGCGGTGGAAGAGGGTGTGGGAAAGGGAAACAGGCAGTTGGAATCACTCTATGCGAAGCGCACATGAAGGCACCTTAGGACGAACGAATTTCGAACCGCACAGGACAGCAAGCAGACAAAAAACAGAAGCGAGTGCCAACGCGCCCTTGGCCGGATATCGGAGGCTTTGCTTACGAGCGTGTAGCGAGGCCTCCTCTCCGGGTTGCGTGACAGAGCTGACCAGAGAGAAGGGGTGAGGTCAAGGGGCAAGACACTGGGACAGCACCCACCCTTTTAAAACAAAACAAAAAACAAAAAAAAAAGCTTGCGGTTAGTATTTTTTCTTATTGCAGTCAATGCGAGGGGAGAGGGTGCTCCAACCGCTGTACACGCGGTTTCCTCCCGTCTTCGGATTGTCACAGAAAGCAGACCGCGCCGCGTTTGCAGCCTCGGAAAGCAGGCGAATTTTTTCAGCACGCTTGAACGCTGGAAATGGCGCGCGCCGGCCAGGAGCTCGGCTTGCGCCCGTGCGAAAAAATCACCCAGCGCGAGCTCGTAATTTGACTGGTGCAACAGCGGGCCTGCTCTCGCAATGCTCGATACTCGTGTAGCCACGTGCTCGCGCGTTACCTTCGCTGAGTCTTGAATTGAGGCGAAACGGAGTCTAGAAGTATGCTGTTTCACGCGGTCGCGTCCTCTGCGAGAGAGATTCGAGCTGAATAAGTAAATGAGGCCACAAAGAACACCAGTGTTTTAAAGTTCTGTCAAAAATATCGGCTCGGCAACATTGCATGTTTACGTAAAAAAAAAAAAAAAATGTTCATTGTTGTTGCAGTGTAAGCGAACATCAGCTCAATAAAAATATAGATATAATTACTCGCATTACTCGAACCCTTTTAATTAGATGAACCGGCGCTCCTGGCTTTCCCGAAACAGGCTGCCACTGCTGAAACGGGCGTGCCCATGCCCCCGATCTGTACGTTCAGTATTAAACGAGCTTTGCAGAGCCGTTTGATTAGACCGGTACAGCTTGCCGGTCACCGGTCACCCGCCTGTGCAACATGGTCATCGGTTTGAGCAAACGTGCGACAACTTTGCACGAACGAGTGACCCATTTGCCCAGAGAACTGACCCGTTTACCAAAGAAGTGACCTGTTTGCCCAAATACGTGACTGTTATGGCTCATACGGGCGACCCCTTTGACAAACAGGGGACCGGTATGGCTAAACTGTTGCCGGTATGAACCCGTTTACTTTCACAGAGGCGCCAATTTTTTTTTTTTTTCAGTAGGGCACAGTGTAATATAAAAATACTAACAATAAACGAAGTGACGCTGAGTGCCGGATCTCTCCAGAAAGCAGTCGTCAGAGAATGCGAGCTTCAGAGAATGCGAGCTTTACCCACTTCTGTTTTTGTCTTTTGCGCTGAGTGGGCCCGGGACACAGATTAGCATAAACTAAGTGAATGAACAAAAAGAGCAGAGCTACTCTAGCGAAAAGGAATCCGCGAGATGAGACCACTATGGCGCATGTCTTTTGTTGCGTTTGAACATGGGAAACGGGACTCGTAGCCGGTTCGTCTAAAAACGTATTCGTTTAAAAACGATGTCCCAAAACCAACGTTGCTGCCCGCTTAAAATGCAGAATTACAGCTGTAGAAGTATAGTCGTTCGGAAACATTTCCTATTATCCGTTAAATTTCCAGCGACTGATTTACAGTGCGATAAAACTACATTTTTCCTGACATGCTTTTTTTTTTTTTTGCTATTACAGCAGTTGGAGATGCGAGGCTCGTGTACCCGCGTTTAATAGAGGCTCGGGCTCCCGGTAATCAGTTGATGCTCTTCATCAATGAGAATATTACATTATCTCTGCAACCAGTCGATATTTTTCCGGATAAGTTTCTGTTACAGTTCAATGATGGGAAAGCCTCAGTAAACCAATACGTAAGTGTTTTCTTCTGATAATTTTTGATCTTTCAAACACTTATATAAAGAAATAGGATAAATGTGCAGTGTCGTTATGTTTTCTTTTGCACTTCAGATCAAGGGTACGGAACTTGGCAAGTTGGTATATCATGACAAGGATCAAAAATCGGCTGTTTCTCTTGAACGAGATAACGGACTGCACGTGGTAACTTAATATTTCCTAGCACTTCTTTTTTATGTATTCATAAAATTAACAATATAAAAAAAAATATAATGACTTCTGCCATGCATGTGCTTCCCTGAGTGAGTCGAGAAAATGGAGGCACACAAATGCAGAAACTATCGAGTGCTACTTACTTTACCAATTACAGGAATAAAATATAACTTGAACTGCACCCTGATATGTGTAACAATGCAAACAAGTAACAGCAATTTGGTGATCGAGATATTTTGATATGGCATCTAACATAATAATCCTGTTTAAACATATATCATTGAATACATTTTGTGAAACTATAAGAATGCATTGTATACACCTTTCCTGTAAACATGCAAGGTAATAATATTTTTCGCAGATATAAACAGAGGACAAATAGCCTGAAAATGTAATATGTTTTGGAAGTGATCTGATACAAACATTTTGGCGCTGCAGTTAGTATTCATAGAACATTATTGTGCCGACATTATGAATGCATGTGTCTGGGTGCCAATTTGCACGCGTCGGTCCAAGCTACATTCAAAGAACAGGACAGGCTGGAAATCTTGCAGTGACAACATATTTACTAGCCCTGTCTTTATCACTGTTAAAAATAAAATAATCTCATCTAATTGTAGTGTAAAACATTGTACAGCGGTTGGTACTAGCTTTATACTAATGTTAAATTTATTAAGAAAGGTAACTTTTCCCCCAAAAGTATAACAATTGTAGATTAGCAAATAATTATTGTCTGAATAACATAAAGCTGTCATTATACTGCATCACCAACAACTTGGTAAAAAATATGAGCTACGTTTACCTTCCACAAAATTAGACGGATATACTTTAGACCCTATTTTGTATGCAAAAATGGCCGCATTTACGTGCATAAAGCGCGAAAGCGGTACCCAAACTGACGCTCATTGCGTGAGAGAATCTGTCGCGAGTATAAAAAATGAAAGAAGCCAATATTGCATTACGTATTTGCAATGCAGACGCTCTAGGCTAGAATAAACATTATGAAAGAAAAAGTTATCGTACCCCCATTTACCAAGTGCACCATGGCGTTACAATTTCATATGGAACGATATACACGCCATAGCCAATCCAAGCTCAAACCAAGAAATCGCAATAGAAATAATGGGTTGCTTAGGATCCTCATTTTAGAAAGGTTTTATTTTAACATGCATGTGTAAGTTGCTTTTTTTGTCGTTTGAAACTGTAATTGTATGACTACTCGTTAGTTAACGTCTTTTATCTAAATCTTGCCTCACAGCGAACTAATATAATGTATACAGTTCCACAACGTAAATTTTGGCTTAAATTTGCTTTGCAGAATGGAATAATCCGCAACTCACTAAGAATAAGACCAGCTACCCTAATGGGGAGATCAATTGACGAACTCATTGCTCATGAAATTTTTGAGGTTCAAGAGTCTTTTCCAAATACCGATCATGACGGTGAGGAAACCATTGCCATAATTCTTATATTCGCTCATGTGCGTTATTTCATTATGAACACAGCGGACAATTTACCAGCACTATGATTCGTAGAACGTCCGATATGCTAAATGGCTAATCTTCAAACAACACGCAGCTTTTCCAGTACCGGTGCCTGGTTTGCCAGTTAAACTGCTCAGGCAGAGGTATTCACAAGGTAAAGTACTTGTGATTCTTAGGCAAAAAGGAATATTGCTTTGTGAAGTAACATATTGGAACATTTCATTTCCAACCAGGTAAAATTCCCGAAAAAGTGCACATCGAAATGGCAATTATAGCGGACACAGACAAGCATAAGAACTATAAAAAAACAATGGATGTGGCGCTTTACGCTGCTGTTCTGATTGCTGCTGTAAGTATTAAATATATATGCCATTTTATCCTCAACGTCTTCAAGCTGATTGTTTACTTCTCATTCATAAGTTATATGAAGTTCAACAATGAATTTTTTCTAACGCCCCTTTACGCCTACTTTTGTTAGCTTTGTTTGGCCACACATTTACGGGGGTATTTGTGCCACTCACTGCGTCCTTTCTCAGGAACTTTTTAGGCCATGATACAGAGAAACAATTATTTTTACAAATCATAGCTACGGTCAGAGTTTCACCGCAGCTCTGCTAATAAAAGCCAGGAACCGTCGTGCCTCCTCAACATCTCTGGACATCTAAGCGATGGGTGTGGGCCATGACATCTCTTGTTCTTGTATCTCAGCCCCCGTTGCTGGTCCTGCTTCCTCCGTCCATCGTGCGATGCTCTTTGTCCGTTATACATTGAAAACAAGTATGCGCACTAGTGACTCATTCCGGTGGCTATAGGAGACGCTCAGCTTCAGCACGAGTTATTTTTCCTCGGCTGTATTAAGATAGCCTCAGTTGTTAGTTTTTTTTTTTTTTTTTCAAATTCTTATCTCTAGTGGTTCATGCCACAGTAACACCAGGAGCAGAATAACAGGTGCGTTACTGGTTCCTTGCTCTGTGAAGATTCCGGAAAGTATCAGAATTTACCAGGGGGCCAAAAAATAAGGGTCATATTATAATAAAATATAAAATTTGTGTATATTTACAATTTGCCTCGTTAATCACCCTGAACGTAGTCTCCAGTTGAGTGAATGCATAGGTCCAAACGTGTTTTCTACTTTTAAAACAAATCTGGTATTCATCCAAAGTACTGCCCGTCAATTCCTGCCTTCTTTTTTGTTTGACCCCTTCCACATCCACAATATATTTCCATTTCAGGACTTTTGTTTCCATGGGCGAACAAAAAAAAGTCACGGTGCGAGGTCTGTTCAATATAAGGGGAGGGGAGGAGCGGTGTCATAGTACTTTTCTTAAAAAATATTGTTGCACAGCAAGGTCAGTATTTGCTGGGGCATTGACGTGATGGGACCACCAGTCCCTTTTTCCAAGAAAATTGGGCATTTCTTCCTCACTGACTTGCGCAAGCGTCGCAAAACTCCCAGGCCTGAGTAACAGTTTCACCTGGAGGAAAAAAAGCTCGGAGTGAACAATAACCCTCAAACAATAAAAGCAAATAAACATCGTGCTTACCTTTGACTTGACGCGCTTTTTGGGGTCGTGGCGAACCCAAACTCTTTCACTGACTTGACTGTAGCTTTGTCTGAGGTTGTAGTACGTAGCACATGCTTGCGCCGCCTGTAATATATTTTAAAAAGAAAAGTTTGGGTCAATTTCCACATACTTTTCCAGCTGCTGACAAGCGTTCACTCGGGAAAGCCTCTGATCGGCAGTGAGCAAATGAGGCAGACATTTCGCTGAAACTCTCCATGTTTGCATTTTCGGTCAAAATGCTTTGACACGTACTCCAGGACACTACACTGAATTCAGAAAGTTTTACATTGTTTTTCGAAGGTTTGCCAAGAACTAATGCCCAATTTTCTCGATGTTTTCATCAGTTGAGGAGATTGAATGTCGCCCTGAGGAAGGGTTCTTGTCGATCAATAACTCCCCGGATTTGAAGCGAGAAAACCACTCGTAGATCTACGCTATCTTCATGGAGTCTTTGAAAATTTTCTGAAGCAGACCCGACCACACTGCAAAAATGTTCCAAAAGCCGGGATTCACGATTAAAACAAATACCTCCGACTTGCATAAAAATACCAAAATTTATCGGACGTTTCGTCTCCTCTACGGGAGACATCATCAGTGCGGCCTGGGAACACCCGACTAGCTACCAGAACCACACTACCGGCAACAGCGTCGCCGGTTGGCGCCGCTTGGCGGCACCGCCGTCCGGCGTCCAAACGCGAGGAAGCCACATTGGCCTCCGTTTTTGCGGGCATTATTGTCAGGCGATAGCAGTGGGTGTCGGGTTCACAAGACCGCGCGATCCCCTCTGCCGGATTTCCCGCGCTTTCGTCGTCTGCTCTTTGTTGTGTTCTTCCGTTTCGGCGCTTACCTTTTGCATATATCAGCATCGAAACGGAACTCGCTGGCTTCGTGGCAGCTGCCAATGATGACCTAGTGATCAGCGTGAATGTGACTCTCCTAGCCTGCTCGTTGATCTTGCGAAGTCGCCGTGCTCTGAAGTGAAGGAAGGCTTTGGGTCCGGCCGAGTTGGCGCTACCAAAACATTGAAGGAAAGGACAGTGCTCTTCTGCCCCGGCTGTGCGCCAGACATGAAGGCTACTTTCGAGAGTGTCTCTAAATCAACTAGACGTCCTCCACAACGCAGGCAACATACAACAAATGCAAATGCCACGGAAAAACTCACCCGTTAATCTGAATTCATCACCGATAATTTCCCAGTGGTTGTTCGTAGCGTCCTTATCTAGGTAGTTCGGCTGCGTCTTGTTATACAGGAAGAAGAAAACTCTCCCAGGTTTGAGCAAGTGGGAAAAGCATTGGGGGAAATAGGCATTGGAAACGAAAAACAAAAAATTACGCTACGCTCTTTTACAACTTGACAGAGGCGCGGAGAAGTGGGCTGCGCGTTGCCGTGGCACGGCTACGTCACTACGTCATCTACCATTGGTTCCTTTACATTGCGGCAATAAACGGCGAGCCCTGAACCGCTCGCGGGCGGGTTGCCTGGACGGCGCCGAGCGGCGAGTCGCTGGCGGCGAAAACGAGTTTTGGTCGGCGGCCAGCGGCGGGCGGCATGACTCCGCGACGCTAGTGCGGTCGGGCCCTTACAAGAAAGAGTTTCCGCCTCCGTTTTTCCCAAAAGAGAACAGAATACCACGGCCGCAAGCTCTTCCTTGAAGTGAGACATTGCAACAAACGTCGAATTATGTTGAAGCGCTCGTAGAAAACAATTTCCAACATGCAGCTAGAACTTTAGCAGACGACGCCGGTCGGCGAACTGACTCGGAATTGGTGTGCTAAGCGTTCCTAGCGGTAGAAGCTGGTACTACGAAGGGGAGTGCTAAGCGCTGCTGGCGGTAAAAGCCGATACCTTGCCCTCAAGAAATTTATTCCGGTTGCTTTTGGGTCCCCCCCTCGTATTGCGTGGGAACTCTAGCACACAGGTTCCCTTACACACTTTAATTGGCAGGAGTCTCAAACGCGCAGCCCGCGGGACGCATGCGGCCCGCAAGCATCCCGCGGCTGCAAGCCCCCGTTCTCATGCCTAGAGTGGCACATGCACCATGAATAATTAGTTTTATAGTGTCAGTTCATTTCCGCTCAAAAAAAAAAAAAAAAAAATCTCCGCTTTGCTTGCGGATTTTTTCACTATTGTGTTATTTCTTTTTTTTTTTTTCAAGTTTTGCTTTGTCTTAATATTCGCTTCTGAGCCCTTTCTCATGTAAATCCACCGGAGTGATAATACCGCTGTTAGGGTACACGAGTGCGAGCTCTTTGCTCAGGGAGGCACTTGGACTGCGCGAACGCTTGCACAGCCGGAGCAACTGCAAAAGATAACGCTATGAGCACGGGCTTTTAGATGTCTAACGATAACTTTAAAATTAAATATTTTTTTTTTACGATGCTGCTATGTAAAGTGCCAGAAAAGCAAAAACTGCTGCATGAAGATATATTCCTTTACGCCTGTTGTGCCGAGTCAACAGTGCTGCAGGGCAAGGATGGTGCGCTTTCTCTCGTTCTATTAAAAACTCTGTGATATGGTGTGCTGGTGTTTCAAATATATTTATAACATCAAGCGTGGGCACAAATTAGTCGTATATGCGAGTAAAAGACCTAAAAAGGGAAAAACGATGAGCTTACAAAAAAAAAAAAAGTTCGAAAGCATAACATCTCTTTTCTTAAACATATGTGGGGTTTCGCTGGGACAGTCAGCTAGCTGCTTTGCTACTTGAAACGCCAGTGCGGTTTATTCGTTGTTTTTCTCCTCCCCGAAATACCGAAATATTGCCCCCGCCTCTGTTGGCCATCTTGCTATCGACGATGAGCTATATGTCCCCCCCACTGGAATGAGTTTGAGATCCCTGCTGTATGGGAAGCAACGGTGTTGTATACTCCGTTTCCCTTTAAGTACGATCACAGCCGACGCTACGATCCCAGACGTCAATCAAGCAGCGCTAAAAGTGAATCGTCATGGCGCTCTCTTTCTCTGTGGGTTTACTATCAATGGCAATGCTAATCATGGACAAACGAGTGCAGCATTGTTGGTTTTTGCGTGATTGCTTTAGTCAAAGGTAAAAAAAGAACAAAGATGGCGAGCGTCGTGACGACGCGTATTTGACGCTGCCATTGGATCTTAGTATCGGGTGCGATGTAACTGGATGTGAAACGAAGTGTAAACCGCCGTCAAAAATGGAATCACTCCATGCCTGCCACCTACGACCCGAATCTGACGTAAAAAAAGAGAACGCTGTAGCTGCCTGCCTTTGTATAAAACCGCGACAAGAAGGAAGGTAATAAAACACGGAGAGCAGGTTAGATTAATTATAAACAAGGAAAGCTGAGGGTTCAATATTGTCATGCGGAAGAGACAGCCTGTTATGCGGAGAGCGTCTGCCTCTTGCGCAGGAGCTGCGGTGACATAAAAACGAGCTCTGAATGGCTTTGATTCCAGGGGTAGACCTCCCTGCTAGATGCCTCGACCCACTATATTTGTTCCATCTTCTAATGAGGACTCGGCTTTCTGACACCAACCCTGTGCAAGAAGCAGACGAACTGGCAAGCTGCAAACAGACATCCATAAAACCAATATCACTCGAGAGGAAACTAATCTGGCAAAACATAGCGAAAACCTATTGAAAATTGGAAAAACAAAATTGGCTGGCGCTACGCACCTTGCCAGATATGCTTGATTTTGATCGTGAACACGACCTGACTTTTTTGGTATGTGTCCTCACTCAATAAAAATCTTTTTTGAGATTTTTACGCTCGTGTTTTAGTAATTAGCGCTAAACGGACACTTTGTCTCTATTGGAAAATGCGGAAGTCTACACATGTGCAGTGAGTTTACACATTTATCCCTTTACCGTACAACTGTGGGAAGGGCAATGATAACAGAAATTGTGTTGCGCTTCGCTTTACGTCAATTTTGCGCATACGG